ATTATGATGTTACCCCTTACCAAAAATGCGAAAAATGGCGAAATTTTTTTTTTGTGAAAATCCGTACAAAAGTGATTGGGATAGTTAGCCTTGGTAATTAGCTGCACAAATCAGTCATTCTTTTTGCTCTGGGATGCTTTTCGGGCAAGTTATGACTATAATCGCCAAAAAAGAATTCATGTTTTATAAAAAAAATCGTGTTTTAATTTTTAGCCCAAAAATATTCAGTTTTTTGTCCATAACTAAGAAAATTGTTGTCCAAATCTAGAATGTCATACACCGTTGAATTCGTAATGAAATTTCCAACAAAGTGGCATTCAAGCCTAAAAATGTAAAATTTTAACAATTTTTCGCAAAAAATTATGATGTTACCCCTTACCAAAAATGCGAAAAATTACGAAATTTTTTTTTTTTGAAAATCCGTACAAAAAAGTGATTGGGATAGTTAGCCTTGGTAATTAGCTGCACAAATCAGTCATTCTTTTTGCTCTGGGATGCTTTTCGGGCAAGTTATGACTATAATCGCCAAAAAAGAATTCATGTTTTATAAAAAAAATCGTGTTTTAATTTTTAGCCCAAAAATATTCAGTTTTTTGTCCATAGCTAAGAAAATTGATGTCCAAATCTAGAATGTCATACACCGTTGAATTTGTAATGAAATTTCCAACAAAGTGGCATTCAAGCCTAAAAATGTAAAATTTTAACAATTTTTCGCAAAAAATTATGATGTTACCCCTTACCAAAAATGCGAAAAATTACGAAATTTTTTTTTTTTGAAAATCCGTACAAAAAAGTGATTGGGATAGTTAGCCTTGGTAATTAGCTGCACAAATCAGTCATTCTTTTTTGCTCTGGGATGCTTTTCGGGCAAGTTATGACTATAATCGCCAAAAAAGAATTCATGTTTTATAAAAAAAATCGTGTTTTAATTTTTAGCCCAAAAATATTCAGTTTTTTGTCCATAACTAAGAAAATTGTTGTCCAAATCTAGAATGTCATACACCGTTGAATTCGTAATAAAATTTCCAACAAAGTGGCATTCAAGCCTAAAAATGTAAAATTTTGACAATTTTTCGCAAAAAATTATGATGTTACCCCTTACCGAAAATGCGAAAAATTGTGAAATTTTTTTTTTGTGAAAATCCGTACAAAAGTGGTTGGGATAGTTAGCCTTGGTAATTAGCTGCACAAATCAGTCATTCTTTTTGCTCTGGGATGCTTTTCGGGCAAGTTATGACTATAATCGCCAAAAAAGAATTCATGTTTTATAAAAAAAATCGTGTTTTAATTTTTAGCCCAAAAATATTCAGTTTTTTGTCCATAGCTAAGAAAATTGTTGTCCAAATCTAGAATGTCATACATCGTTGAATTCGTTATAAAATTTCCAACAAAGTGGCATTCAAGCCTAAAAATGTAAAATTTTTACAAATTTTCGCAAAAAATTATGATGTTACCCCTTACCGAAAATACGAAAAATTGTGAAATTTTTTTTTTGTGAAAATCCGTACAAAAGTGATTGGGATAGTTAGCCTTGGTAATTAGCTGCACAAATCAGTCATTCTTTTTGCTCTGGGATGCTTTTCGGGCAAGTTATGACTATAATCGCCAAAAAAGAATTCATGTTTTATAAAAAAAATCGTGTTTTAATTTTTAGCCCAAAAATATTCAGTTTTTTGTCCATAGCTAAGAAAATTGTTGTCCAAATCTAGAATGTCATACATCGTTGAATTCGTTATAAAATTTCCAACAAAGTGGCATTCAAGCCTAAAAATGTAAAATTTTTACAATTTTTCGCAAAAAATTATGATGTTACCCCTTACCGAAAATACGAAAAATTGTGAAATTTTTTTTTTGTGAAAATCCGTACAAAAGTGATTGGGATAGTTAGCCTTGGTAATTAGCTGCACAAATCAGTCATTCTTTTTGCTCTGGGATGCTTTTCGGGCAAGTTATGACTATAATCGCCAAAAAAGAATTCATATTTTATAAAAAAAATCGTGTTTTAATTTTTAGCCCAAAAATATTCAGTTTTTTGTCCATAACTAAGAAAATTGTTGTCAAAATCTAGAATGTCATACACCGTTGAATTTGTAATAAAATTTCCAACAAAGTGGCATTCAAGCCTAAAAATGTAAAATTTTGACAATTTTTCGCAAAAAATTATGACGTTACCCCTTACCGAAAATGCGAAAAATTGTGAAATTTTTTTTTTGTGAAAATCCGTACAAAAGTGATTGGGATAGTTAGCCTTGGTAATTAGCTGCACAAATCAGTCATTCTTTTTGCTCTGGGATGCTTTTCGGGCAAGTTATGACTATAATCGCCAAAAAAGAATTCATGTTTTATAAAAAAAATCGTGTTTTAATTTTTAGCCCAAAAATATTCAGTTTTTTGTCCATAGCTAAGAAAATTGTTGTCCAAATCTAGGATGTCATACACCGTTGAATTCGTAATGAAATTTCCAACAAAGTGGCATTCAATCCTAAATTTTAACCAAAAATTGATGTTACCTCTTCCAAAAATGCGAAAATCCGTACAAAAGTGATTAGTCTGAACTATTTCATGTCATAAAATATTTACGACCAACAAATTAATAATGCAGGGCAAATAATAACGAAAAACGCAACTTCGCACATATTTGCAGAGCATAAATTGAGGGGAATTGCGAAAATACATATATATCCATGCTTATGGTTGAAAGTCAAAAAGGTGATCATTTCATTTACCACTGTCGTCAACACATCCATTCATACTAAAAAATATGTATATAAACCTTACATTATATATAGACATGTTTACCTGTTACCGCCCAAATTCCCACCTCCTTTTTATTTGTTAGCTTTGGTCGACGTCAATTTATTGATGCCCGCAAAATAAAAAGAAAAAAATGTGAGAAAAAGGAAAAGAAATTTCGAAGCATGGGAAAAGCAAAACGTAGCCATAAAAATGAAACTGAAAATGAATGAAAATTGCCATGGGGTGTTGCGAAAAATATTGGGGTGTGGTGGTGCGGCTGGGTTGCTAACTGAAGTTAAGGTATTTGTCAACACAACGCTCGTAATTTTCGTGCGTTTAGAGTATGACGTATACGCCATGGTGTACGTCGAGAATTTCCTCAATGTTTCTATGTGGAATATATGTAAGTTACGTGAGCACTGAAACATTTTATAGTTTATGCAGTAGATTATTTTCCTTTGAAGTGATTCAATCAAATAGGGTTTTTTTTTAACCCGTTGAATAAAAGAATTCTATAAAATATCCATACTTGCCATACGCTATCTCTTTGAAAACATTTTTTGTGTCCTTTTTTTGTTTTCTTTTTAGGTTTTATAAAGATCTTGATTTTATTTACTATTTGCCTGGATGAGGGTGTCGACGAGTGGCGACATGGGTTAAGTCAGTCGGATGCCAGGACACGCTTATCCTTTGCGTCCGTCGACATCGTCTTCACGTTTCCTTCAGTTTTTCCCAGGTTTTCCACAGCTTTCCCCGCATTTTTTCCTATCCCTTCATTTTTTTCTCGGGGTCTCAGCTTGTGCTTTCGTTACGGACGAACTGTAGAGAACGCGTAAAGCGTAAACTACAAATTGTTTTGTAGTTGCCTCAAATGCTTCTTGTTCTTTTCATTTTTTTTGTTCTTTCTTATTTTGCTGCGGCAACAGCAATTGGCTTCATTTTTATTGGCATTTATGGGAAGGCGTGGCAGGTGGGCAGGTGGACAAGCACCACCCACAATTGGGGCAACTTCGTTACGCTCCTTTTATTTTTATTTTATTTCATACACGGTTTCTTTTTCTTTGCCATTTATTTGACCTCGCCATGTGTGTGGGCGGCTGGGTGGTCGGGTGTTTGCTCACGTAATTCCCTAATTAAATACTTAAATTGTAATTGCTTTCGAACAGAGAGCGACGAAAGCTGCAGGAGTCCTGTCATTAAAACGAATATATATGCTCGTATATATAGATATACGTGTATATATATTTATATGGCAATGTGTACAGGAGTTCATTGAAAAGGAATCAAGGCGTGTTGGTTTTGCAGTTGCTTTCTGGGCAAAGTGTAAAATTGTAAGGTAACTAAAAGATGTATCTACATCATGCTTTCGTTTCGAATTCAATCTGCTTGAATAATTCATCATGAAGACATGACATTGCATCACACAGACAGACACCCGATCGAATCAACTTTAATTGAATGAAAACAAATCATGCCAATCATATTGACTCTAATCCAATTAAATTAAACGAAAATATTTCAAATAAATCCAAGATGATTTGGATCAACTTAAATGTGGCCAAACCAATTAAAGTTTGACAATTTTCGACAAATTTCTTATTCTTTTGGAGAACGGATATGGATTAATACTATTTTGGTAGACAAAAGTGAACTTCAATAAAAAGCGCACATGGTTCTTAAGAAGGCAATAATGGTATAATGCATCATTAAGAATATCTATAGTTGCCATCAAAATGCGATTTAGAAGGAAAGCCAGAAGCTCTAGTGTTGTGAGTACCACGTTATTCACTGTCCGTTAAGCCATATAAGTCATCGCTTTAATTTTAATTGCCCCCTGACTAAGCTTACAGCGCTTACTACGCCTCTGTTGACCCAGGACCTCCGGCCACCGGCGATTTTCCTGTCTGCTCCTTGAACTTCTTGCCTCGTGCATCCTGGCCACGTTTTTATGTGCTTTTAAGTGTGCAATTAAAGGTCAATTGCCGCCCCGGCTGGACAGCCAAACGGCTCACGCTGAAGTAGCCCATAAATGAGGCGTAGTGTGTAAGCTATATAACTCTTTCCTTCCGCTTTTCGTTTTTAAACATAAACCTCTATTGCCTTTGATGTGCATTTAATCTATTTACAAAACTAGGGCGTGCCAAAGTTTTAGCATTTTTGTGTTGGTAGAGAAACATGTGAAAAAATTGTTGTGAAATGAGTTTACCAGTGTAGTTGGCTGCGAAATTTGTGTATTACCCATAAGTCAAATCAATGGTAATAACTTGAAAAATTCACAGTAGCCACATGGCCGAAACGGAGGCTTCCAATTTGGCCGAGTACAAGGCCGGCCGCATGATCCTTCTGGGCAAGATGGTAGAGCCGGATGAGCGCAAGGGCCTGCTCTTTGTGCGCCGATCCGCCGGTGATAATCAGGTTCACATCCACTGGATGGACCGGCGATCCGGGGCCATTGAGCTGGACATTGTTGCCACGCCGGGTGTCATCGAATTTCGTCGCATTGATCAGTGCAAAACCGGTCGGGTTTATGTCCTCAAGTACACACGATCGCCGCAGCGTTACTTTTTCTGGATGCAGGAGCCGCAGGCGGACGGGGATGCGTTATTTTGTCAGCGGGTTAACGATCTGATTGCCAGTGGTGAACGGAATTGGCATGAGAGTGCGGCGGCCGAGGGCGATGTGGATACGGATGTGGAGCACGAAAGACATCGCGGTTTCGGTGGCAGTGAAAATCCTCAAGTTCTTGCGGATATGCTAGCCGGAACGCAAAAAAATTGGCTAACAGCTAACCAGAGTTTGACTCATTGGCATACTAATGATGCGGTGGAAGAAAAACCGCCCTTGGCATTCTCCGATCCCCACACAGATACATATACAGAGATATTAGACTTGGCAACTGTTTTGCGCACTTATGGCGTAGAAGCAGTGGAAAACCTCCTAAGTTGCCCATTGAGACGTGAAAAACTGGTAGCCCTACTGCCCAAAGATCCTGAAGCAGATGATACGCATAAAGATATCCGAGAGCATCTACATTCCCCACAATTCTACGAGACCTTGTCCTATTTCTCCTTTGGACTGCATTCGGGAGTGCTCAGATCGATCCTGGAGCCACTGTTACAACATGACCATCTCAGTGCCTTGGATGCCGCCCAAGTTGGGGATATTGAGCGCTTTCTACGTGAACTACATCAAAACGAAAGGGATTATAGTGGGCCAACCGATTGAACCGGGAGGGTCTCATAAATAAGTCAAAATATAGAGAATTAAATATGGCACATAATAGAGGAAGAGTGTACAAAATGCAATAACTGCTTAACTCCTTGGTCGTCGTTTCTTCTCGAGTTACGAAGATAAATGAGATGCCATAAGTTAGACGACAACTTGCACAACTCCAGACAAAGAACAAGCGGATAAAAGTGTGCTTGTGCCCAGGAAAGAAGTAGCAGAAAAAAAAATAAAAAAAAACAAAAATAAAAAAGAATCGGGGGAACACTAAAAATTGATATAAAATACACAGAAAAAGAAGCAAAGCAACGGTGAATACAAAACGAAGGAAATTTCTCAAATAAGAAATTGTTGTAAACTACGGGGAGTACTTAGGATCGGGTTAGTGCGGCTGCTGGTGGGGTTCCAGTGTTTCAGAGTTTCAGTTCCTTTCGAGTTTAAGAGTCCTCGGCCCTGCGACAGCAGTTTTCTTTGCCTCATTTGTATGGCGCCTGTCCTGTCCTATGCCGCGTCCTGCCAACCTTCTTCTCCTTCGGCCCATGCTTACCAAAAACTTTTTCCACGTTGTTTTAATGAAACTAAGTGAGCGGCAAAATGGTGGACAGCGGGACAGTGTAAGGCATTGTGCTATGGGTTTTCGGGCCAGATAAAGCATTCGAATATGCTGGGCTGGTAACAGTTTTACCCTTTTTTTACCCCGGAGAAAAAAAGAAAACTTAGGAAAAGCAAAATGTTCAGAAAGTTGTTGCATTGTGTCAGAGTTTGGACAATGGCACGATGGCGGGGGAAAAATTGAAAAAAAAACCAAGAGAAAGTAGTGACAGAGAAAAAGCAAATTTGACGATTAGTTTTTGCCACCCCTTTTTTCTACACTCCATCCTGCATTACTCATTACAGAGTGTGACCAGCGTTTTTGTTAGTAAGGCTGCACTTTGTCTATCACATAACTGCACTTTAAAGGAATATAACTTTAAATGATTCAGAAATACGTTTATAACCATATTGATTAAATTAGGTAAACGTTATTGCCTTGCATTCTGAACGTGCCACTTGTGCAATTTGCTTGACTTCCATGAAACTTCCAATGAATTTCTCGCATTTAACCAACTAAAACTAATAATGCTCCCCTTTCTCGTTCCCTTGTGGGAGCGACATAAAACTTAATGGTAAATGGCGTTGCAGAGAATTGCCATAAAAATTACTTAAACCGAACAAGCAGCTTAAATATGCCGCTTATTGATGTTCCCCACAACGAAGCAAATGCAATAATAGTTAAGAGAAAAGGGGGCCCAAAAAAGGCGGAGTGTGCAACGTGGGAGGGCACTAGCTAGCTCTTTAGCCGCTTTTCCAGCTCTCAGCTCCCAAACTCCATTTCCATTTCCATTCGCATTTCCATGTCCTTTGCCACTTTTCCATCTCTCCAGCTCTCGACGTATATGCGTGTTGCATACTAATTTCAAAAATTTGCCATTACATTTGTACTTCGCACTGCTCCATGGCACTACTACAACATACCACCACTCATTCCACCTATTTTCCACCCATTTTCCTGCCCTTCAGCTTGTCGGTTTGCTGCCATCTTGAATTACGGAAACACACACAACAGGCACAGTGTGTGAGTGTGTGTGTTTGTTTCTGTTTTTGGTCCTTGATAATCAAGCACACAACTGAAGCTGTAGCTGGAGCTGTAGCTGTAGCTGGAACTAAAACTAAAACAAGCAAGGAGCTAGGGAAACCTGGGGTAATTCACACACGAAATTGCCGGAATTTTTGCTGTAGTCAAAGGTGAAGCCAAAGCATCTTAGCCACACATGCAACACACATCGTGCTCTGTACAAACAAGCAGCATTTGTTGCTCAAAGTGAATTTTCATTCCTGGCTAAATGTAAATAAAAATGCTGGCTTCTTTTTTTGTTTTTCAATTGCCCGGCAGGCAATGGAAATACCCATAGAATTTGCCACCTGATGGAGATTACAAGCAATTGGTCAATTATTTTTGATGCTTGAAGCAGAGTACGTAGACGAATTACTGAATTACAAATATTGCCACATTTTATTGGTTTTGATTGTTTCTTGTGACTAAAGAAATGTACTTTTTGAATTTGGATACGTTTTAAGTGTCATTAAGTAAGCAGAGCAATGTGAAATATTTAGAAACTACTTTTTTTTTGCCTTTGGCTGTATACCAATTTGTGTTCCGACAATGGAAAGGGCCGAAAGCACTCGATTAAGGAGATGGCGAAATTTGAGGAATTTGTGTGTACTGTTTCAATGGGATTTCTAATGAGAATCTCTTTGACGCGCCTCAAGGCAAAGTCAAAAACCTAAAGCATGTGTCATAATTGTCTATGCCACAACGCTTATAAATAGACATACATATTTATAAGTGTGTGATGTATGGCGTATGCTGCGGCAAACGGAAGTCACACAGATAGAGGAGCAGAAAATGGCAGACAAATGGCAGGGGCATTCGACATTGAGCAAACATTGTCGCATAAAGGAAACGCACTGGCCTCAAGCATATCCTTACCAGAAAACACTCATTGGTAGGTGGTCAAACATTTCCTTTGTCCTCTCACCAAATGACTGTGTTGCTCCTGAAAATGTTGCCCTTTAAAAATAGAGATGGCAAACCATCGTTGTATTATCGATAATTTCGATAACAATTTACAATATGTCTGCAATCAACAAAATAAAGTGCTCTAAATTCGACTTGTTAAAGGAATTCATTCTGTTGATGATGATGATGATGTATCCATCGATTCCCTGCCATCTCTGCCCCAAAAGTGTGTAATAAAAAATGTCGACAGGGCGGGCAGAAGTCGCCAAATGGCCAGCGACAGTTTGGCTAGGAAAATCCCTCCTCAGTTTCTCCCATTACCCCTCCTCTCAATTTTAGTCACTGGCCTAGTTCGCATTGAAGCCGCAGTCCATGAGACAATAACTCATGGAGTTCGGCGAGGGGCCGACCGGAACCCGAATAAAAATCAAATAATAGCGTAAAAGCTCTCTCCCCTTAAAGAAAAAAAAAACGCAACCAAGCACATGCGACGGGGGTAGAAGTCGGAGGAAACTGGGAGAAGAACCGCCTGTCCAAGGGACAACAATAAAATGTCGCCGTCAAGCTTTGTTCGCGTCGCCAAACCAGAAAGTTAACCCACTTGCAAAAAGCAATGAATAAATTTTCCAACTGAAGCTGGAAAAACTTTCTTGTCGCAGCCAAAAATGCCGAATTAAATAGAAGCAGTAGGTGTATATATGAAGCAAAACGCCTCAGATGCAGTTGGAAACTGAACTAGTGTTGAATTCACAAAATTATTTTTATTGATGATTTTTATAAATATTTTGCATGTATCCGATTTAAGTCAATAATTACTGGAATACCGTGAATTAAATAACTTTTACGGACGACCCATGAACCCTGATGTCCATCGCGGGTTAAAGTGCACCGCTCGATATGCGAGATGAAGAGGACAAAAGTGCATTTAACAAATTAAAATCGCAGAAACCACCGTCCAAACGAAATGGCAATAAAGCTCTGGCTTTTTTCAGTAAGCAAGGGGAAAATGGGGTAGAAATGGCTTTTTTCGGCCAACGTCCAGTAATGATGTTGTTGCCGGAACGGTTGGGGACCTCTGGTCATTTGGTCCTCTCTGATCCTCCGACTCCTCATCCTCCAGTGGCTCCCCTCGACTTTCCGGCTGCGAAAATGCAATCCGAGCCGGAACTGACACGCACAAAAGGATATGCAACATTCACTAATAAATTTCATATTTATGTAGAACACAGAGTGCAGTCAGCGAGGGCTAAGAGGGAAATATCCGGCGAAATATAAACGTAAAATTGCCGGCCAACAAGAGTTTGTTGTGTGTGCGGTTCGGAATGCAAACATTTGGAAAGGGCTTGCCAAGGGGCGGGGAAAAGAATGAGGGGGTACTTTTCGGGCACATCTGACAATCTCGGCATGACAATAAAAACGAATCGAAATTAAATCGAATATGTGGAAAATCAACATTGGGCTAAATGTCACATAAAACTTTATTCACGCGGTATTATTTTTAAAAGCTGATTTTCTCTTCATTTCTATAATACAAATATATTTGAAATTGGTTTATGCATAGATTTAAAAACCCGATGCTTGTTTCTGATATTTTGTGTATTTTTTGTTTATTGATTGAGCATAGTCATGTCAAATGTGAAACACGCGAATCGCAGGCAATTAAAGCAAAATCTTATCATCATTTTTAGATATTTTTTGCAGGCAATAGAATGGCAGGCGAGCAAAAGCAGTAATCATAAGCCAAAACCAAACCAATCCAATAATCAATGGCATATCAATTTATTTTCGTGTGCTCCAATCATATTTTGCACAATACGAGCGACAATTCATTGTAGATGGTAATGATATTTTTCTCGCTTTACTTAATTTCTTTTTACAACTACCTTAATTTGCATAATTTGAAATTATTAACAACAGCTTTGAATCGGGCTTAAATTTCATAAATATTTATTTAATCACTTATTCATGCATTATTATATTCACAGTTTCAATGTTTACTCATTGCGCAAGTAATAAAATAAAAACACTATGCAGAACTATAAATATTTGATGGAAATAAATGCTAAAATGTTTTAATATTTGCTTTTCCATTGGGTTTTCATTAAATACTTCTAATGTACAAATAGGTTGCTTTCGTTTTAATTTCGCATTCATTTTATGATTTCCTGGGCTTAGCAATATTTTCCAGCCGTCATTTATTAGCAATATATAATCGACTGTCAGTTTTCCATAATGACTCCATAAAGAAATACTTAACAGAGGCGTGTTTGAATGATTCCATAAAGAAATACTTAACAGAGGCGTTAGAATTGTGTAATGTAAAATAATTTACTCTGAGTAGTCATGTATAAAATGGTATATATATATTAAAATTCTTAAATTTCTCAAATGTATCGCTTTAATCATCAGTTTTAATATTTACTGACTTGAGGTTAAATATACCGAACGAAATGCAAATAAATCGTGTTTATTAAAGAAATGCTCAGTTCACCATTATTTCATCTTGAATCAATGAATCTCGTCTCGATTTCTGCAATTTCGTTGGCAAACATTTGTGTATGTGTGTATTTTTCAATTATTAATTGATGTTGTAAGAAGCAAACTAAATGGATATCATACGCATGTGTGTTTCGTTTGTTTGTTTTAATGTTTTGCCTTTGGCTTGTGCAGTTGGCCGTATTTGCCTTTTGCTCCCAATTGCCTTTGCTGATTTTATCTGTATGGGTGTGTGCCTACCAGAGTCTGTGTACTTTGCGTGTGTGTGTGTTTGGTCCTGTGCGAGAG